TGTTTGCTGTTGTAGTGTGAAAGCCATGATGATTCTATGTAAGCAAGCAGGCATGATAGAGCTCCTATAAAACTTTATTTACAAAGCCATAAGGCAGATTAGATTTGGCCTGTGGCCTATAGTTTGCTGGAATTGATGGAAGGGAACCAGGTAAAGAAACCAGGAGACAAAGGAAGCTTTTGCAGTAGTGAACTATAGTTTTCTTCTCACACATCCTTGGACTAGTATCAGTGTATTAGAAGGTTTTCACCCATCCATGGTGAAATAAATAAAGTTCAGAATCTCAGTTACTCATTTTAATATGTTGGCCTTTTTTTAGTGTTATGCTTTTTTCATTTGCTTAATTTTTTTCATGTAAAAAACGCATTAATAGTAGGCATTTTCTTTTAAATAAAAACCATTTTGTAAATGTTTATGTTCCCAGTGGTAGTGGGAATATAACAGAGGCAGAAAAGAGGTATAGTCAATATGATTTAGTAATAATTGAATGAGAAAGGTTTGGGGCACAGAGAGAAGTGTTCACTTCTTCCAGTGACTAGCACGAGACAGTTTGAAATGTGATTTTTTTCTCTTGGCCCAAAAAAAGAAAAAAAAAAAAAAAAAGGCTTTTTTACCTTCTCATCCTTGGAGACACTGGCATTAGCTATGGGCCTGATAGTTTAAGAAAACTTTATTCTCCAAAGTAACATTTTGATAAATAGTGTAATTCTTTATTACAGCAAAACCATTGCTTAAGTGGGCAAAACTCTAGAGGATAGGAAAAAACACTCTTGAAAAAAGGTGGTGATGCCCTGAAATTCAGCAAACTGCAGGGGCACGTGTTGTTCTACCCCAGGTCAGAGTGTGTCAGTCATCACTCAGTGCCACTCACAGACCACCAACTTCAGAATATCTAGGTGTAAAGGTCTGTACAATAGTGATAATATAATAATGTAAACAATTTTACGTTATTAATAATTATTATTTATATTATACAATTACACAATGTAAACACTATTAAAACATGTTTGTCTTCAAAGAATGGCCTTAGTTTCTGTGGGCAGTGTCTCCTCATGGAAAGATAGTGCATTCCTGCTAAATCACGGACAAAACGGGCCCCCAGGAGCTCCAGGCTGCAGCAGCAGCTTCTCATCTGCGTCCTTCACTGCATGATGTTGTTGACTTTGAAAGCTCCTTTTCGTCTAGTTTTATCAACAGAGCTGGTATTTCATGAGGATCTACTACATGCCAGGGCTCCTATGGCACTGCGGTCTTGTTGGTTGCCAAAAGGCAGACCACAGGCCGTCTTGAACATAAAGTGCAGAAAGCAGGCAGGATTACCACCCATGGGCCTCGGCCTTCTGTGGCCCTGGCCAGATTTAGAATTTGGGACAAGGCAGGACAAGCTCACTCGGAGCAGCGTGTCGGTGGCTGGGGCCTGTGCATTGCAGGCAAAGCCAAGGTGGCTCAAGGAGCAACCAGCCACTTCTGGTAGGCTGGGCCTGGGGTTCAGAGGGTGGTGGCCCTCTGCATGGGGCCTGCAAGCCTGTATTTTCCTTCTGCAGTGCCCTAGCAGAGGTTTCCCAAGAGGCTCTGTGTTTTATTTAATTTAAGAGACCAGAATAACTAAAACACGAAACTGAATTGAATAAGAAAGGGCAGCCTTTAATTGCAAATACACACACACATACGCGGGCGAGGTTCTCCGGTCCTCGAGCGTGGGGCCAGAGAAGTCGCGCCGGCTCCTGCCGGTGGCGGACTTTTATGCATTGCGACTGGAAAGGGGAGGGCAGTGGGCGGGATAGGGGTGTCTCCATAGGCGTGGTCGGGTAAGTTTCGGTTTCTTCAGATTGATATCACGTGGCGCATGCTCAGTTGATCCGCACTTTCCCAGGCACGGGCAAGTTGGTGGTGAAGAACCCGGAAGCAACAGGGACTGCGCCATTTTGCTCACCTTTTTCCATCTTGTCCCTTTTCCCTCACCCAAACACTCTGCCTCTGCAGCATGCTTCTTCCTGGAAACAGTGGGAGGTGGTTTTCCAGGGTGGAAGCCTCACCAGTGGTTAAGCACTGTCTTCTTGATGCTGACCTCATGATAGTGAGTTCTCATGAGATCTGGTTTTATAGCAGGGTGTGGCACCTCCTTCTTCTCAGTCTGCTCCTTCTCCTGCCACGTGAAACATCTCCTTGCCCCTTGGCCTTCTGGTGTGATCAGGAGGCACCTGAGTCCTCCCAGAAGCAGAAGCCACTGTGTTTCCTTTGCAGCCTGCAGAACCGTGAGCCAATTAAACTTTCTTTATGATCATACAGACAGTACTGTGAACTCAAGCCATGAAATGCCTTCAAGGCCTTTTCCCCATTGTCTTGGCAATCAGTGCTCAGCTTCTTTTCATGCAAATATCTGAAGCCTGCGTGAATTTTTTCTCTGAAATTGGACTTTTGTTTTGCCACATTGCCAGGCTGTGACAAAGATAGCTGACAGTGTAGAAGCAGGTTCAGAAGTGGGTAAAAGACAGAGATCGGGAGAGTTGGGAGAGCTTAGAAGACAGCAAGGTGAGGAAAAGTTTGGAGCACTGTAGAGAATTGTGAAATGCTTGTGATGAGAAGGCTGACAGAAGGATGGACAGTGAAGGCCAGACTTAAAAGGTCTCAGATGAAAATGAGGAATTTCCTGTGAACAAGAGCCAAGGTTCCATTTGATTGGCTGGACAGAGAACGTGGCTGCACAGTGACCCTGCCCTGGAGATCTGTGAAACTATGAGCTTGGCGGTGATGATTTACAGTGTATCTTGTGGAATGAACATCTAGGCAGCATAGCTCAAGAGGTGTCCTGTCTGCGTCGAACAGCCTGTGTTATGTGTGAGCCTAAGGAATGACCTCAAGTTGGAACTTTTTTTTTTTTTTTAAATTATTATACTTTGAGTTCTAGGGTACATGTGCATAACGTGAAGGTTTGTTACATATGTATACTTGTGCCATGTTGGTGTGCTGCAGCCATCAACTCGTCAGCACCCATCAACTCGTCATTTACATCAGGTGTAACTCCCAATGCAATCCCTCCCCCCTCCCCCCTCCCCATGATAG